GGTCTCAAACTCCTGACCTCAGGTGATTCACCCACTACGGCCTCCCAAAGTGCTGGGATCACAGGTGTGAGCCACCGTGCCTAGCCTGGAGAACCGAACGATAAAGGACAGGAACCAAGGGCGATTTGGGAACCCAAATACCAGAGCAAATGAACTTTCCTGTGTTACTCAGCTCCACATCAGTGGTCCAGGAGACACAGTCTGATTGGCCAAGCTTGGGGTCAGGTGACCCTATGAATAGAGGGAGGGCAGGGCATAGTAATTGACATTCCTATCCGTACTGCCCACAGCAGAGGAAAGGTGATACCTGAAAAAGAAATCAAGTTGATTGTAGCGAAATGAAGCTGGATAACGAAAAACCAACAGATGTCACCATATAACTTTTAGGACAATTTTTATCAAGTGTGTAAAGTACGTGGATTGGTGTTTGAGAAATAATAGGTTTTTCAATATATGATAGAATTGATTGAGAGGTTGCCTGCTGTTTTGAAAAGGATCCTGCCTGTGATACTGTGACTCCTAAACTACATTGTAAGCTTCATGAAGGCAAAGATGCTGGTATTTATTAGGTAGGTGCAAAAGTAACTGCAGTTTTTGCAATTAAAAATTGCAAAACCACAACGGCTTTTGCAGCTACCTAATAAATCTTTCTGTAGGTTCTCCACGCACTATTTGGTATAAGATGTCGTGGCCTTTTTCTCTGGAACACCTGTGATAGAGGGTCTTCACCTGATAATCTATGCCCCTAGGGACATGCTCAGGTGGACGCACAAGTAAGAAGTTTTGTGGGAAATGAGCAGTTCCCAGCATACTTGCTGTGACCCCGCTCTTGACTGGCTGCTCTGGTCAGCATATGGGAATGCAAGGGAGTGAGACTGTCTTCATGCCTAGGGTAGCCTCTTTAAGAAAGAGTGAATTAGTCACAAACTGTGGCATTTGAGAAATGTGTGTGTACATTCACTTACAAAACAAAAACAAGAAATGACCATTTTCTGTTTTTTCTTTTTTTTTTACTTAGGCTGGAGTGCAGTGGCATGATCTTGGCTCACTGTAGCTTCGACCTCCTAGGTTTAAGTGATACTCTTGCCTCAGGCTCCCCCCACCCCCCAAGTAGCTGGAACTACTGGCATGTGCCACTACCCTGGCTAATTTTATTTTATTTATTTTTTTTATTTTGCAGAAATGGAGTTTCGCCATGTTGCCCAGGCTGGTCTCGAACTCCTGAGCTCAAGTGATCTGCCTGCCTTGGCCTCCCAAAGTGCTAGGATTGCAGACATGAGCCACCACACCTGGCCTGTTTTTCTAAAATTAAATTCAGTTGAAGCGGCCATCACCAAGGGTGATGATGACAAGTTCAATGTCAGATGATTTTGGTGTCCCTTGCCCGTGCACCATACCCCCACCACCGCCCCCATCCCAGGGCTTATAGGCAGCCCAGTAAAATGGACTGTGACCAGTATTAGTGACTGGTGCCACTGGCCCTTGTCCAGACAGCCCTGCTGACTGCCCTGTTCCTACCCCTGAACACCTGGGTATGGGTCCTGAGCAGAGTTCACTGGGTGCTCACACTCCCACACGTACAGCCGTGGCCATCCTAGCTTCTGTAGCCTCCAAGAGCTCCACAATCAAGAGGTACACAGGACCCTATGCTGAACCAAACCCGCAGCCTCTCCCTTCCGTCTACAAGGATCTACCCACTTTTAACATCAGGCCCTTCTTCCCTTTAATGTTTTCTTCTTTTGTTTCATTATTTAAGAGCTTTATGGAGATATAGTTCACATACCATACAATTTATCCATGTAAACTGTAGAATTCAGTCGTTTTTTTGTCTATTCACAGAGTTATGTCACTATTACAACAATTTTAGAGCATTTTCATCACCCCTAAGAGAAACCCCATGCCCATCACCAATCACTTCCATGCCCCACCTCACCACCCCTGCTCCCAACCCTAGGTAATCAGTAATCTGCTTGTTTTCTCTGTGGATTTTCCTACTCTGGACATTTCATATAAATGGGCTTTTACATTCTATGGTCTATTCTAGCTAGCTTCTTTCACTTAGCATCATGTTTTCAGGGCTCACCTATGTTGTAGCATGTTATATGTTCCATTTTATGACTGAATAACCTTCTACCATATGGATATATTGAATTATATTCCTTCTTTCATCTGTCTTTTTAAATTAAAAAAATATATATATGTATTTCTTTTTTAGAGACAGGGTCTCACTATGTTGTCCAGGCTGGTCTCAAACTCCTGGGCTCAAGTGATCCTCCTGCCTCAGCCTCCCAAAGTGTTAGGATTACAGGCATGAGCCACCACACCCAGCCTCCTTTCCTCTGTTGATGAACATTGGGGTCCTTCAGTTCTTGAAGCTTCAAGCCACCCTCTCTTCAACTCTTTTCCCTCTGTGGCGCCAGATTACGGACCGCAAACTCACATGCCTGTCAGCCAGGTATTAGGAAGACAGGAAGTAATAAGGATGTGGCAAATGAGTGATTGTGCCCAGTGTAGAACGGGCAGGCTCTACTCAGCTGTGGCCACATGGCCATCTAGACTGGATATGATCAGAGCTTATGATTGTACTGGAGAAGCCAGAGTCCAGAATTTTTTTTTTTTTTTTTTTTTTTTTGTGGGAGTCTTGCCCTATTGCCCAGGCTGGAGTGCAGTGGCATGATCTAGGCCCACTGCAATCTCCACCTCCCGGGTTCAAGCAATTCTCCTGCCTCAGCCTCCCAAGTAGCTGGGATTACAGGCATCTGCCATCATGCCCAACTATTTTTTTTTTTTTTTTTTTTGTATTTTTAGTAGAGATGGGGTTTCACCATGTTGGCCAGGCTAGTCTCAAACTCATGATCTATAATCCCAGCTACTAGGGAGGCTGAGGTAGGAGGATTGCTTAAGGCAACCTGGGCAACAGAGCAAGAATCCATCTCAAAAAAAAAAAAAAAATGCTAAATGCTGAATATGATCCCTGAGTGATGCAGACACATGGCTAATCTCAGGGAGCCTGTGAAGGGTCAGCTGGAAGGGACAGTCACTTGGCAACTCCTGCCATCTCATTTGGCAATGCAAAAAGGCTATTCATCGAGGCTGAGGTGGGCGGATCACAAGGTCAAGAGATCGAGACCATCCTGGCCAACATGGTGAAACCCTGTCTCTACTAAAAATACAAAACTTAGCTGGGCGTGGTGGCATGCGCCTGTGGTCCCAGCTACTCAGGAGGCTGAGGCAGGATAATTGCTTGAAACTGAGAGGCAGAGGTTACAGTGAGCTGAGATCACACCACTGAACTCCAGCCTGGTGCCTGGCGGCAGAGCAAGACTCTGTCTTAAAAAAAAAATGCTATTCATCTTTTCGGAGAAGGAAAGCCCTGTATCTGTGGAAAAGACAAGGGATTTGAAGTCCCAAGTCTAGAATCTAAAGCTCTGGTTTAGGAAGGAGGTGAAATTCCTCTCATTCTTTGGCTCATGAATCTGCTGCAGCAGAAAAAACAAAGCCTGGGCTGATGCCTACATCACATTACTGCCAAATTGGCTTGCAAATTACTGTGGTCTAGTTCAGGATAGACTGTGATCTGCTAGTGTGACCTTGATTATGACTATGACCTCCACCATAGTTGAAAACTGCTGATTTTGGCTGGGCGTAGTGGCACACTCTTATAATCCCAGCACTTTGGGAGGCCGAGGTGGGAGGATCACGAGGTCAGGAGTTCGAGACCAGCCTGACCAACATGGTGAAACCCCATCTGTACTAAAAATACAAAATTTAGCCAGGCGTGGTGGCATGTGCCTATAATCCCAACTACTCAGGAGGCTGAGGCAGAATTGCTTGAACCAGGGAGGCGGAGGTTGCAATGAGCTGAGATGGTACTACTGTACTCCAGCCTAGGTGACACAATGAGACTCCATCTGAAAAAAGAGAAAACTGCTGATTTTATATAAAATGTGCCCTGAATCCATGAGGACAAATCTGTGGAACCAAGAAAAGAGAAACAGTAATAGTGTGATCTTATGTAGAGAAAACATGCTAGTTATGTAGGTTGGGGAGTGGAGAGTATTGAGGTTTACGACAACGGCGAGTGTTTATTGAGTAAATAACCAGTCCGTGTACCACTGCCCACTTTCCATTTTGTTTTGCCTGTGACTATGAAGGAAGTGAGTATTTTTTCAAAGGAAAGCAATTAATAGAACTCAGCATCGGTGTAGTGCCTGGTGTTTGCAAAGAGGTTTTAAATGCCTTATCTAGTTTGAGCCTGTGAGAGTAGGCATTTTTACCTAACTCTTTTACAAAGGAGACATTTATATTGAGACATAGAAGAGGAGAAATTACTTAATTAAAGTATTCCACCAAAGGGACCTATAACTTAAATCTGTATGTTTGATTTCACAGAGACAGTTTTCTAATACTTTTTCCAATACTCTCTAATTTTGTTGCATCTAAGTAATAAGTATAGCTATTTTTGGACTTAATAATGTGTTTAAGTTTATACTGATATTACCCACATAGGAAATAATAAAAGGAAATGATGGTTTCCAAAGTGTTTTAGTATTTTTTACATTCTTCAGTTGAGGGCTCAACACTAATAATTAATAATTGGGAGCAAGTGTGCCTGTGAATTACTGCAATTAGAAGCTCTCTATATGTCACTGATTCTTACAACACTCTTATAAGATAGTTATCACTATTATTACTATTAATTCCTATTTTAGGATTGAGGGAACAAAAGCTCAGAAATTTAAATACGTAGCTTAAGACAGTAAGTTTCTGAGTTATGATTTAAGCTCAATTTTGTAAAACACTAAAACAATTTTAAAAAAATTATACTGCATTCCAGAAAAAGTGAAGCTCCTTGGAAATTATGGAATCGGAGTCATCAGCTGGACATTTGGGTATATTAAGAATGAAGTTACCTGTTAGGGCTGCACAGTGTCTTTATTAAAGCTCTGTGAAAAACCAGGTGCTGTAACAGATGCTCTTTCTTTGCATTTTTCCTTTAGGTCTGTCAGTTTGTCGTCTCTGTCAATGGGCTCAATGTCCTGCACGTAGACTACCGGACCGTGAGCAATCTGATCCTGACGGGCCCACGGACAATTGTCATGGAAGTCATGGAGGAGTTAGAGTGCTGAGTTCCTGGGCCTCCCAGCCCTCTAGCGGCCTGCGGGTGATCGAAGCCAGAATGACACAAAGCAATGCAATGATGAGATTTCCATGCAAATGGATGGTTGTGGTCCTATGGATCATCTCAGCACATATACATCTAAAGTTGAGTTTTATACACTGAATGTGGAAAAACCGGGTAACATATCTTTTTAATAAGATGTCAGTGTAGAAAACATTTGGGAAACAGAGTTTTCCTACATGGTAGAACTGCCTTACTAGATTTCTATTTGTAGGTCTCGTTCGTTGTTTTTTATCTTAGTTTGCAGAAAGGTATTGAAATGCTTCTCTAGTCCAAACAGCAACACGCGGAAGTCCCCTTCTTCAGAGTCAATAGATTAGTCGTTAAGGGTTTTTAATTGTACTTTCTCCAAAATTAGCATGGATCTATTTAATAGGGAATCTAGATTTCACCAAGATTCAAATTGAAGCAACATCCCAAGGAATAAAACTTGTTCATTGGCATTTTGAAGGGGGTTCTAAAGCATTCGAGTGCTTAAAAGCCATAAAAAGGGATTTCTTAATTCCTGCCTTTAGTGTCAACTTTTAAGTTAGTGCAGGTTTCAGTTGTGGCATTAGCTAAAACAAAAACAAAAAACTAAAAAAGCAAAAACTTGGTGATGCTATGGGCGAGTATAGACAGGGAGAGACTGCATAAAATTGTCCCGATTTTCTCTCTGAGCCTAAAATCATTTTGTTTTATAAATCAGGTATAGCAGCTTTCTAGATTTAATCTTGAATATGTTGAATGTTAAAACAGAGAAGTTTGTATATACAGGTAATTAAAAAATCAACCCTTCTGGCAAGATTTCACTTTGAAGGTGTCTGTTTTTAAGGGAAGTCTAAAACTTTGCTGATACGTGATAAAACTTGAACTCTAAATTGCCTCCTTAGCCTGAATTTTTACTAGCTTTCTAGTGTAACATATTCTAAGGGACATGACCTGCTGCTTATTTGGGGGAAGTATTTTTCACCAAAATGACCATCTTGTGTTTTAACTTTTTAGCTCACTTGTATATATGCATGTTTTCATTTTTGGTCTAGAAAATAGTACATTTCGGGGCTTGGTGTGCAGAGGGAATTCCTCGAAGTGCCAAATTAGGGAGTTAGGGAATATTAAATTCTTCATTCCAAATAATGGATCTGAATGAAGAGGTTAATTTTTTTTATCATGCATTAACAAAATAAAATATGAATATCATATCATAGCCATTTATTTGTATTAGGTTATCATAAATGTATAGGTACTGGTGGAATGGATCTACTGTGCTAAATATGTTATAGATATAGATATATATATTTCTGGTAATCTAACTTTTCTGATTTGTAGCTTTAGTCAGAGAATAGGATTTTGGAGTGACAGAGAATTTCTAACAGTAATATTGTTGTTATACATTTGAGAAACACTATCACCTCTGTGTGGGTGTGCATTTGTACTATATGGCAGGCTCTGTGCATTTAATATCTGTGATATTCTTTAACCCTCATCACCACCTTGCAAGGTAGGTGTTAACATGCACATTTTTTCAGATGTGGAAACTAAGTCTGAGCAAGTTTTAAATTGTCTCTAAGTTCACACAGTTGCAAGCACTACTAAGTGATGGAGGCTGAATGCAAACACAGGTTTAATGCTAAATTCCATGTTACTCCCCTCAGCCTTTCCCCATTTAAGGACCCTATATTGAGGGTTTATTCTGAGCCAGGCTCTGTGCTAAGACTTTCTGCCATTTGTCCTTATTGGCCTGTGAAGTCAACACAATCATTATCTCCACAAATGAGGAAACTGACTCGTAAAGTGGTTAGTCATATGCCTAAGGCCACAGAACTAATAAAGTGGGAAACCTTACCACTGGCTTTAAAAAATTTGTATAGCATCTTTAAAAGATGAGTCTTAACTGCTTTCTGTCCTCAGGTATTCATTAAGTGACAAAAGAAGAAGGAACGCCTTTCCAGAAATGGCATCTTCTTCTTGCCTGCTTTACCCGTTATCTTGGACCCTGGCATAACACAACTTCCCTTTAGCCAACCTAAGCACCAGAGGAGCATCCCTCCGTATCGATTGCACACAACCTCCTCTTGCCTGTGAGGAAGGAAGGAAAGAAGGAAGGGAGGATTTCCGTCTTTGGTTCCCATCACCCTAGGTTTAAAGGCCAAATCCCAGGGAATCTCTTAAGGCCATGAGAGATTTCCCTTAGCTAATCCTCCAGCCCACCCCTGATATCTTTACTCAGCAATTAAAATGACTACCCCTACTTCCCCGGGGGCCCTATCTCACTCCCTCCAGCCTTTGCACATGTACTTTCTTTTTCGTGGAAAGAAGAATGTTCTGTCTTACTGTTGCCTGGAAAATTCTTTCTTCATATAAATTCCCGTTAGAAATTATCTCCTCTGGGAAGCCTTCACCAACTCCCCAGTTCTAGTGCTAGGATTGATGCCTCTTTTCTAAATTCCCGTGGATCCTGAAGTCCTCCCCATGCCCGGTTAGAGCACTGATGACATTTACTTTGAAATTTCCCCGTTACTGTCTGTTTGCCTTAGTAGACTCTAAGCATATTCAGAGCAGGGGCTGTCTTACTATCCAGGGTAATCTCTTCACCTAGCACAATTCCTGCCACGGAGCAGTGTGTCAGCTCTCCATTGTTGTCTAAAAACCCACCTCAAGGGTGGGGCACAGTGGCTGACTCCTGTAATCCTAGCACTTTGGGAGGCCAAGGCAGGTGGATCACTTGAGGCCAGGAGTTCAAGATCAGCCTGTCCAACATGGCGAAACCCCATCTCTAATAAAAAAAAAACCAGAAAAATTAGCTGGGTGTGGTGGCATGCACCTGTAATCCCAGCTACTTGGGAGGCTGAGGTGGGAGAATCACTTGAACCAACGAGACGGAGGCTGCAGTGAGCTGAGATCAAGCCACAGTACTCCAGCCTGGGCAACAGAGAGAGACTCTGACTCAAAATAAATAAATAAATAAATAAATAGGGAAATACATTAAAAGAGAAAAAAAACCCAGTCAAGTGCAGTGGCTCATGCCTGTAATTCCAGCACTTTGGGAGGCCGAGGCAGGTGGATCACTTGAGGTCAGGAGTTTGAGACTAGCCTGGCCAGCATGGTGATTTTCCAGGCCTTTGTGTTTATGTTTTTGCTACAGAGATGAAAGTAGTTTTTGTTTATTCTCTAACATATTAGCATAGGGTGCACAAATTGAAAGCCATGTTCCCTTGTAGAAAGAAAAATGCTGTTGCCTTTTGGGTTGATTCTATTGTCTGATGTTTTATTAATCTCTGTTAAATAATTGTGTAAATTAATCTAGAGACTAGTTGAGAAATGGTGGATAACATGAAGAAGATACCATCTTGGCATACATTAGATGTGATCAACTTCACACTATCATATAAAAGGTGGCTGCATCGGAGAGACAGGAATTAATATTAAAAATGATTTCAGGCCGGGCGCGGTGGCTCAAGCCTGTAATCCCAGCACTTTGGGAGGCTGAGGCGGGTGGATCACGAGGTCAAGAGATCGAGACCATCCTGGTCAACATGGTGAAACCCCGTCTCTACTAAAGATACAAAAAATTAGCTGGGCATGGTGGCGCATGCCTGTAATCCCAGCTACTCAGGAGGCTGAGGCAGGAGAATTGCCTGAACCCAGGAGACGGAGGTCGTGGTGAGCCGAGATCGCACCATTGCACTCCAGCCTGGGTAACAAGAGCGAAACTCCGTCTCAAAAAAAAAAAAAAAAAGATTTCAGTTCAGATTGATATCTTACATTTCCAAATATTCTTTTCTTTCAATGTGGTATAAGTAATCTGCTTAAGTCCTATTTTAGTCTGGGCACAGTGGCTCACACCTGTAATCCTAGCATTTTTGGAGGCTGAGATGGTAGGATTACTGAAGCCCAGGAATTTGAGACCAGCCTAGGCAACATAGTGAGACCCCCATCTTTACAGAAAATAAAAAATTAGCCAGGCGTGATGGCACGCACCTGTAGTCCTAGCTACTTAAAGGCTGAGAAGGGAGGATAGCTTGAGCCTGGGAGGTTAAAGCTGCAGTGAGCTGTGATTACACTACTGCACTCCAGCTTGGAAAATAGAGCAAGACACTGTTTCAAAAAAAGTCAAAGACCTGTTTTAAACTGGTGATATTAGCTATTCTCTCCTGTTGACTATTAATCTTGTTTCATTTTTTATAAATAATAAGAATGACTAAAACACTTCCATTTTGCTAGTTGGCTGAAATCTATTGATGTAATTGACCATGGTTTTACTCACTTATTAAGGCAGAATTTCAGATGTGATGTGTTTTTCTTCGGTTCAGTACCAAAAGGACAAATCTGCCATGTACGAAAATGAAGTTTGTCATCAAAGACAGCATCTGGTATTGTCAAATGCATTAATAAACAATAAAGATACTTAACATATATCTTTATTTTAAAATTAGGTTGAAATTTACTCGCTTCTCTTATGAATATTTATGCCATAATACTTAAAATTATTGTATGAAAACACAGGTGTATAGCATGAAAATAAATGTGACTTTTTTAAAACAATGACTTTAGGGTTTCAGCTTTTCCTGTCTTTTAAAACAAATTAGCCATTTTTTATCCTAAGAAAGGATTATGTTATAAAGCTGACCTATTACTAGCTTATCAGAAAAAACACATGGGTCTCATATCTGATTCTCCTATGTAGCCAAAAGTGCCATTTGTAAGTTTACTTAATGATGGATATTTTCTGAAGTTATTTTGCCTGGAAAACAAATAGTGCATTAAAAAGCTTTTTCTGGTACTCTGCTGGATTCAGAATCATTTTCTCCCTACCTAGATCAGTACTGATGGGTGTCATAGAATATTCTATATGGAAAAATACTGTGTGCTTGTTTATTACTGAGGGACAATGTGAATTTTTTCCCCAATGAATTAGGAAGGAAATCAGTTACATAATTTCATGTGTGTTGTATGGGTTACTGTAAAGTGTTGGGGTGAGAGGTTATTCAGACTACACTCAAAATTACCCAAAAATACTTTTGAATTTTCTATAATTTATTCACTCATTCATTCTTTCATTCAGGTAACCTTACTAAGGACTTGGGTTTTGCTGGATGTTGTATACATGTACTATAAATACAAAAATGAGTATACCTGCCCCTGGAACCAAATAATCCTTCAAGAGTCACCTTTGAATCTATCTCCTAGAAGTCTCCACATACGGGGGGAAATAAAAAATCATGGTGTTAAAACAGGTGGTTTAACACCTGTTAATGCTAGAAACCACCATCCAACCCAAGCACCAGAATACAGACAATTCTTTATACTTAACTGTATTTTTTTTCCCCCAGCCACTTTACCTTATCCAAGGAAAACACAATGTTGAACACTGAGTTTATAATTTTCTTGCTTTTTTTTGTTGTTGTTCTTCAGGGTTGTTTATTTTATTTATTTTTGTTTTCTTGTTTTTTAATTTTTTTAGTTTTGTTTTTGGTGCCATGACTTGGATGTTTATGTTTTTTAAAAATGAATTTCATTTAAAAAGCACCAATTTTTATATAATCTTCTAGGACTTGGTTGTTTTCATCTAGTATTAATAGAATTAAGTTTCTTTCAAATGTTTGTGTATAGTTGTGATTCATTCATCACAGCTTCATAAATTTCCAGACCACCAATTATTTATCTGTTTTCTTGTCTATGGGCTTTTGGGTGGTTTCCACTGTTGTTGTCATAAGTGGGGTTATTACGAACATTCTCATAACATCTCTTGAGAGTCCAAGTGAAGGAGTTTCCCTTAGGAATCCACTTAGGAGAAAAATTGCTGAGTCATAAGAAATGTGAATGCTCAACATTACAAAGTCACATCTAACCAGCCTCCAAATTGGTTGAAGTAAACCATAAAAGTGATGTTTAGGCTGGGCGCAGGGGCTCATGCTTGTAATCCCAGAATTTTGGGAGGTCAAGGCAAGTGGATCACTTGAGGTCAGGGGTTCAAGACAAGCCTGGACAACATGATGAAACCCCATCTTTTCTAACAATACAAAAAGTAGCCAGGCGTGGTGGCATGCGCCTGTAGTCCCAGCTACTGGGGAGGCTGAGGCAGGAGAATCTCTTGAACCCAGGAGGCAGAGGTTGCAGGGAGCCAAGTTTGCACCACTGCACTCCGGCCTGGGAGACAGTGCAAGACTCTGTCTAAAAAAAATAAAGTGATGTATAGTAATCAATATCTTCTCCAACACAATGTTTGAAACTTCTTAATTTTAATCAAATGGATCTTTACTTTGTCAGTGATAATGAGGATTCTACGTTGCTGCAAAGTTAGTAAACTTTAAAGCACAGAAACCCTAAGAAGTACTTTGTCATTTGTCAATAACTTACTACATTATTGTCTTTATAATATCCAGGATGTCTTGAAACTTTTATCTTACAACTCTGCGACTTGAGTGAGGCCTGGATTGCAGGGAATTGGTAAGACATATTCAGAAGCATGCAACAAATGATTTCTTAAGTGTCTATCATGGCCTGTCACTTAATGTCTGGCCAACAGACACCATTCCCATTACAATCTATAAAAACAGCAGCTTCTGAGTTATAAAGTGCAGCAGCCCTGAGCAAAAGCCTCTGCAAACCTGATGTTTTGAGTTAATGCCTGAAGTATGGAAATGAGCCAGCACTAGAGAAATCTGGAAGAAAGCATTGCAGGCAGAGAAAACAGGAAGTCTAAAGGAACCAAGACTGTAAAGGTCATAGTGGTTAAGAGCATGGGCTCTGGGGACATAAAGTCCAGGTTCAGGCCGGGTGTGGTGGTTCACATCTGTAATCCCAGCACTTTGG